ACGAAACATTTGCCGTGAAATTGTTGTGAAATTTATGCGTCTGGTTAAAGCGCAACTAATTACACTAAAAAAAAAAAGACTTTAGCTTAATAGCTACCAAATGTTTAATGAAATAATGCTAATTAAATATTTGGTTAATATATCTATGACCAAAAGTAATTTTCCTAAATATTTAGTATCTAAGTATTGTCAAACGGTTTGGTAATATTATTTGTTACAAAACTTTTTTCAATATACAAGCTTACGAAAATAACTATTATTTTTTATGCAACGATTTAATGCATATCGTTATTTATGGAAATAATAACATTTATAAGAGAGAACACGTATTATAATAATACATTTTTAACATAAAAACTTTTTTATTAATCCATTCAGAAGATTCTCCATTGTACATGTGAATCAAGATCGCAATTTATTGTAAACTAAATTCATGCGGATCTGCGAGACAGATGTTCGACAGTTTAACACCATTTTGCCAGTTTTCGTAAAAGCCAAGACATCAGTCGCCGTATTTTATTTTCGATGTTGGACTTTACGCGGGTAATCCTACACCACCACTCACCGCGGTCTATTTCTGATACAGTCATTTTTAAGACATCCACTAAGTAAATGCTCACATACACACGATCCGCGTGGGAATGTATTTTACAATAAATTTTATGCCCATTTCCCATGTATAGATTAAAATTGTCTGTGATTAACTCATTTTTAACTTTTCCTAATTTTTAGAAAGAAAAACTAGAACAAAACGAAAAAAGTGAATTGAACAGAAATTAATCTAGGTTGATAACGAAATGGGCATTAAACAATGAGATGAAAGATAATGTTAAAAATAATCGCGCTATGTGCGAAAAAGTTAATTTATATGTAATATATTACGATTACATTATATCCTTTCAGGGTCGTAATAAGGAACAGGAAGCAGAGGTTCTTGCCTGGATCGAAGCTGTGTTAGGAGAGAAACTTCCACCAGGAAACTACGACGACATTTTAAAAGATGGTGTGGTCCTTTGTAATTTAATCAACAAACTTGCGCCCGGATCGGTTAAGAAGATTCAAAGTAAGGGCACCAATTTCCAGCTGATGGAAAATATTCAAAGGTAAGCGAGAACAAACTAATTTCTTTTATTATACTTCGCATAGCCATTTTTATATAACTTTACATATGTTTTGCTACTTAATAGATTCCAGGCGGCGATCAAAAACTATGGTGTCCCGCAAGAAGAAATTTTTCAAACCGCGGATCTCTTCGAGAAACGTAACATCCCTCAAGTTACCCTCTGCTTATATGCCTTAGGCAGAATCGTGAGTAGTTTGCAATAATAATTTGATTAAGATCGTAAATATGGATAATAAGATATGTATATTATTCTTAATATATTTTTTCGAGATATAAAAAAGAAAGAAATATAATAAAAAAAACTTTTTCTATGGAACGAATACTTATAATTTTTAAATTTGTAGAAAAAGAATCAAGTTTTTTAAATTAAAAATATTGAACTTTTCACATATTTTAAATATAGAAAACAGTAAAAGGTTTCATATACGAGGAAAAAAATTGAAACTTTCCATTTGATGAATGTAAAATCAACACATAGCAAATCAGCATAATTTGCCACAGTTCATTTACAGCTTTAATCGTTAATACGTATTTGTGAAATTTAATTGGAGTACATGGTTTTGTAATAGACACAAAAACACGACTGGAACGGGCCAAGTTTAGGACCGAAAATGGCGGATGAGAACAAAAGAGCCTTCACTGATGATCAACTTCGTGCTAGTGAGGGTCATCTCGGCCTTCAAATGGGGTACAATAAGGGTGCCAGTCAAGCTGGTCACGGCGGCTTCGGAAATACTCGACATATGTAAATTTTTTTTTATAGAAATGAATTAACACACATCTGTGTCATACACGTCTACATTGACTGGTTAGACTACCAAACATGGAGTATGATACAATAAAAACATTGAACAGAAGTCGCATTTGTTAACCGCGCGTATTAAATGTGTGTGTGAGATAATAAGAATACTACGCTTTGAAGCATATTCTTCAAATTCATAAAGTTCGTAAAAAATTTCAAATAGTGATCTGTTTTCTTTTCATCAGTTATTATTGGCATAAATGAGACCGCGAATAATTTATACTTTTGTGTTGTGTAAACTTCTTTCTTCATAAAGATAATCATTTTTTTCATATTGTCGCGAATACATATATCCATCTCTTACACTATTTATTAATAATTTCAATTATTATCTTCTTTAGTTAATTTTTAGATACCCATGTTTAACAATTAATTTATTTTATTCTTTCATTATTTTATTCTTTTTTTTTTCTACATCAGATATTAATAATGTATAGCAATACCTTAATTTTTTATCTAGTCATGGAAGAATATATTTTTTATACGAATTCGTAACATTTGTAGTTTGCATGTAAATGTAAGTCCGAATCTGTGTCATTTATGATATTATATAGCGCTTTATATTTTATGAAGTATATGTATAATTTCTATTATACATGTACATACGCAAACAATATATCATTTACCTACACAAACAACTTTCATGTACAATCACACGCGACTTTTATATTAAATACTGTACACTATTATACAAATACAATACACACGTATTCGTTGCCGATTTTAAAATAAAATATTATAAAATGAATCAATGAAAATACGAATATTATAAACATAAGCTAAGAACATCAAGAGCTTCGTTTATTAGTATTTATAAACTAAGAACTAAAAGATACAATATTATTATCACGTTCACACAATTAAACATAAATACAAACTACATGACACATACACGTAAATCAACATTACATTACACATACTAACAGATAAAAGACCCAACCAATATTTATAAATTTAGAATATTATTTAGAAATAGTTTTTAAATTTTACAATCTGATTACCAGCTTTATCTCTATCATCTTTTGCGATTTTAAATTGTGTCATAGATATATGCATCTATCTTAATTTATAAATTAACTTTATAAATTTCTACTTTTCGAATTATATATGTGTGTAATCTACATGAATAAATGAATCAATATACATTCTTCAGAAAATTACACATTATTTTCTGTAACTTCCGTCTCACCACTCTCGTTAATTTACGTAATCTATTCTGTAAGTAAAACCTGTCGCTGTTTTAAGATGCATCACGGAAATATGTATATAGACTATAAATAAGTTTTGTAAATTTATGGTACAAACGATTAAGTGAATGTAATAATCGAGGAAACTGTCTTAGAAATACCGACATTGCATTTGGAATTAAGCCAATTTCATGCAATATTCATACACAAGTAATTTTACGGTAATAAAATTAAACGTGAAATAAACTATCTCAAACTAAAATATCGCCAAGAAGAGTTGCGATTATTAGCAAATATAACAGTTTACAAGTAAAAAATTGCGATACAAAGAATTTGGTACTTTCATTAATAAAATCCAGCGTGTTATCTTTCATCTGTTACGTACGTTTTTCTTTCACAATATAATTGTAAATTATTAGAAAAAGATCTAATTAGGCAGTGCTTATAAAATAATTAAAGGATTTTCTCGCGTTCTATCTTCCATCCGTTCTATCTTCCGGTCGTCCGTGCTATTCTTTGCACCCACGCGGGTATAAAAATATCCACTGTTTGTAAATAAATCAAACTCTCGCGATCACGTCATCCATGACACGGTTTTCTGAATTTTTCGTGGAAGCTAATAAGCTCGCTTCGTGCCAACCTGCGTGTTTCTGGCGCGGTAAAATTTAATTCCTATAACTTTTGCTTTCCTTGGCAAATCCGAGTGCCTTTCAGTTTATTTCTGGATCGCCGTGGCATACACGACGACCGCTGCTGGACTCGGGTCACGGAATATCACTTTATTTCGAAATGGAGTAGCCATATTACGAGAAAAGAGTCGTGTTTCTCATTAGAAATTGCAGCGGCATTTTAAAAGAATTTTCATTGGTATAATCAACATAATAATTATTATAGTATTTTTATTGCATTATTAATTATCGATCTACTTGCGTGATTTACACAATATTGCAAAAAGATTTGCTTATTCTGAAATTTGATATCTGAAGAAGATTATTTGCGCGTATTTTAATTCATTCCTCGTTCGACGATACGTTGGAAAATTATTTGCTTTCTTAAAGGAAGCACGGATGATAAATTTCGATTGATGATTCATAATGTTAAAAGTGTTTCCTAAATTAGGAACGCCTTAATGCGTAAATCGACGAAAATCTCACAGATTGACGTAATGTGAGTCAGCGCTTCAAAATAGAAAAGCTTTGCTTGAAACTTCAGAAGTTTTTAAAATATGTGAGAGCAGTATGTAGAGGAATCTTGTTTATGCGATATTTATAAAATTTTTCTCGCAAAATAAAAAAAAATTAATCACCTTGTTAATTAGGTTTAACGCATGTTTTGAAGCGCATCTTGATTTGTTCCGCACAAAATTTATTAGAAGTTAAAAAGACAAATTATTTTCAAACCTTTTCCAAATATTTCTCCGTAATTGTCTCGTAACTTTAATTTCTTATCTATAGTGTTATTATTATATTATAGAAAAAATATTTTGTTATCATTTGTGTTATCACATAAAGTATATATGAGTTTTCGACTAAGATTTAAAATGTAACATGAAATAATTGAACTATTAAATGAAAAGCATTTTATTATTATAAACGTTTTAATCCCTAAATAAAGCTGTCTTTTGATCTACGAAATATTGCAGAATACAGCAAAATATTATTTCTCATAGAAAACAATATTCATTTATTCCCATTCGTAGAATACAATAATTTTAAAACATTATTTCTTTTCATAATATAATTCACGGGATGAAGTGTGTCTAATAAAATGTAATAAAATAATAATCAGTGAAGTCACGGAGTTCAAGATGGACGAGATTAAAGAAGACAGACGCGGCGATGCGGTCCGTTTATCGCGTTCCGATTTCAAGAAATGGCACATAGCTTACCTGCCAGAGTGGGCGTCCAGGCATGGCGGATCCTCGGGTCTCGACGGGCCTCCTCTTCGGAAAATTATTTTCTCCACACACCGTACACAGAGTACTCTCCACCGTAGCTCAAGCTCAAGCACAAAAAGTGCGCTCCACCGCGGTCGCGCTGCGTATATATGCATGACAGGTGCGTATACGTATTGGTGGAACGTGGGGGCGCGTCTATATATGGATCACTTACTCACCACTTACTCCAGATACAAGCGCGATCCATCGAGAATGTCCGCGGGGGGTAGGGAGTATATGTGACGGAATGATGCCGATCGATTGACAGAAACGATTTCCCGATATTTTATGGGGATCCGATCTGCCGAGAACTCATACAATTATATTTTTTACGTTATATTTCAAATCTAAATTATTGTTATAATATTGATTCTCCGCTGAGAAGATGAATTTTAACTCTTTCGCCAGCAATAGAGATTTTCGAGAAGCAGAACGAATTTTTTATTGTTCGGGATTATATCAAGATCTGACAAAAATCTGATACACATTTGATAAAGCTTTAATATCGAATTTTTATTATTATAGAAGTCGAATTGAATTTTAGTTATTTTTTACATATACGTTTATAACTTTTACATATATTATGCGTATATTTCGTCATTTTATACAAGAAAAGTGATCACCTTTTTTTTTATAGATTTTGAAACAGTATAAGATATACTATTCGCATAAGTATATTTATATGCGACCTTCACGGATGAATCAGATTCTTTCGTCAGAGGAATGACAAGGGGAGGAAAGCGGGCAAAGAGCGGAAGAATGAATAAGAAAGTAAATAGGTGCTCACTAACGAAAATTCGGGAACATAATTTTCCCAGACAGCACGGAAAATCCATTGAACATCCAGACTTGGTTTCATTCTGATCCAAATGTCTATAGACTTACAATGAATATTTCAAAAACATACATTATTCAACATACAAAGTACGTGAACGTTTTAAAAATGTTTATCTCATGCAAAATATTTTCTACGTCTACAGTCTGCTCGCGACTTGCTGCTTTCACTGACAAGAGAAAATATTATACAAGATCACAACGAGTTTTACTTCTGTTATTTTCGGTAATGAACATTTACCAAATTAAAGTTTAGAAGCCTACAGAAAGAAAAGAGGACCGATAAAATCGGCGAAGGTGGTGGAGGGCTTCTGGCTTGTGATGCTAGATTTGCCATGAGACAAACATTTGCAATATACAAATACTATTTTGAGCTAGAAAATTTGTAACGAGCTTTCCGAACAAGTTAATGTATTACAAATTTTTCAAATACGATATCAATTTAAGAAAATATTAACTCCCCCTCTGCTTCTCTTTCGCGTTTCCCTCCGTTTTCCATGATTGCGTTGAACGGGGATCACGAACAAAACGTACTCTGATTTCCCCGGGAATGTTTCACGAGGGAACAGCCGAAAAACAGATCACCCTGACGGCGACGGTAGCGTGGCCGAGCGGTCTAAGGCGCTGGTTTAAGGCACCAGTCTCTTCGGAGGCGTGGGTTCGAATCCCACCGCTGCCATTTTTTTTTTTTTTCCTCTCCTGCCCCACGCGCCTGCGGGTGGTACGCCGCGCCGTAACCGCGGCCTCGCGCACTGGACCGCACGTCGTGCGATTAACGAGACGCAATGGTAGCGTCTCCTTCGAAGGTCCAATGGGTTGCGTCGGCACGCGGCGCCGTGGTTCACACCTATCAGGCTAACATGCGCCGCGAGTAGGTAGGTTAACGTTTCGGCCGTTTCTGTAGGCGCGACATCTGCGGAAGGAAAGGGCCACTTTAACGAGCTCCGCTTCGTCGAACGAGCAGAAAACTGCCCGTCGAGAACAATCGACCTTCGCGTAAACATTAGTCGAAGAAAAGTATTCGTAATACACTCGAGTGTATTTGGTCAAATTAGATTTGCTCGTCTCCTTCTGAGGATGACAAATTTCTTTTCTGTGAACTTCTATAGTTTATATACATATAACTCAAGCAGAACGAGCTACAATAACGTCAAAATCACGTTAAAATGAATCATAAATGAATCGGAAATAACTTTTAACGATTATTTTGGAGTCATTTTGATATAATTTTTGATGCGTCATGATGACCTGTGTCGTTCTGCTTGGGTACATCTCAAAAGTTCAAAATTCGCAATATAAAATATAGACCATGTACCATCCAGGCGAAGAACAAGACCGTTGATGAAACGAACGTTCTCGTAGCCGAGATAAATGCAAGCAGATTTATTCATAAAAGTGTGCAAATCTTAATTAATTCAACTCCATTCCTCTCGTCGATATATCACTGGCGCATGTTTTCGATGAAGTGATGTACAATGCAGAATATTGTCTGCGACGTGGGAGTCTTTAGAGAGAACAAGACGGGATTCCAAAGCTCGAGATATAATACGTACGGAGCAAAGGAACGTATGCTCCTTACGGAAGCTCGTTCGCGGAGTCCCCATGCTCTTGCGAGCAGATGGGATCCTGTTGATGTTGTTGTCGTCGGGGGCTCGCCATTCCTGCCCGTTTCGGTTAAAGAGGATCGTTATTGAACGCTTTTATAAAACGGCCAAGGGGAGAACGAAACGCACGGCTGATATACTTAGTATAACAATAATAATATCGGCGTCGTAGAAAAAAGGAGAACGGAAGTGTGCTCCGAGGCCACGTGGTATCCTGATACAGGTTTCATTCAAAAGATGCTTCGACGGACCACGCCCAATTAACACGTCCTTGCAGCTCGATATGTCATAAATGGATATTAATAAACATACGTTTATAACTTTCACATAATGTTATTATCATTATTATTATTATTAGTGCATTGTAACAAATAAAATGAAATTATTATCCAAGACAGAACAAGTTACGTCGAAATGACGTTAAGAAGAATCGTAATTGATTAGAACGTGACAGTCATCATTTTGAAGATTTTGATGTTACGATGGCTTGTGTTCTGCGTGGATATGTACGTGGAAATGTATTGAATAAAATATTGCTGGCAAACTAATGAACAATACACGAAATAATTGTAATACATATATGGAATCACAAGTACATTAACGCATGAAATTTTGCACACATATCGGAGTATTTGGCGCGCATATTTCACGATTAAATGTTCGCACGTTATGGCTCTGTTGTTTATTCAAACAATATTATTTTTATTATTGTTATATAATAATATATTATTATTTACTGTTAGATTATTATTTATTATTGTTATTCGGTAGACTTAATACATTAAGCTATGAAATCTATTTTGCCACGACTTACAATTGGACAATTATGAAATGTATTTTCATAATTGTCCAATTGTAAACCGTGGAAACTGCAACCGAAAATTTAATTTCATTTGAACAAGGAAAGGTTAGAGGCAAGAAGTAAAATATATTATTCCTTCGACATATTCGTATGTAGACGTAAAACGGTATTCATATTTTTTATTTAAAACTGTTTTAAGTACAGTCTGAAGATATCTTGAACTATAATCACAAAACCGTATGAGATTAGCATCTCAAAACGATCTTGAAATACGAGCAGACTATACACTAACAAGAGACTGGTACAACCATAAAATGTTGAGCAAATCCAACATTCAATTAAAATGACAAAAAATGATTTTATTTTTTATAATAAAAATAATAAACGTAGTAAGTGTTACTAAACATAATAATATAATCAACAGAGAGTTTGCTAACAATTATTAAATATTTAAAATATTATAGTAAAATTGTGTTTAGTTACCGAACGTTTGATTAAAATTATTTTACTCAACATTTATAGTAACTATATACTATGTATATTACTAGATTCTTTTTTTCAGTAATTTTTTCAGACTATCGACCGTAGACTGTAACGGAGAAACGCTCATTAATTATCTCAGTCCCTGCATCATATAAGATAGGTTCATCTAACGCGTCTACGTATTCTTCTTCTTCTAGTTCCTTGACCGCAATGAAGTGCGAAGCGTGCTCACATCCCATAGGCCGTGCGTTATCAGGGTAGCATGAACATTGGCCTTTCTCCTCTCTCGTACAGTTGAGCGTCATTCGCGCGGGTTGTCTCATTTGGCCCCTCCTCGCACCAGAGCAGCACGCGGAGCGAGGAAGTCGTCCGGGTGTACGCGTTCTTGTATTACCTATGGTACCTACTTTCGTCCGAAATCATTTCCGCTTGATGGAAATTACCGACGTAGTCATGATAACTATACATGTGTCACAATGGATCAGCATATGTATATTTATATTGTATTTGATACATGTACACAATTTTGTGACTATAATTAAATTAATAATTTAATTTAATTAATACTGTTATAACAATTAATTAATTTAATTAGTCATTTTTGCGTAGCATTACTATAACGTCAACTATTATTTTATTATCATAACGTGAGAAAAATTCTCAAAGCCTGATTAAGATTTTTATTTCAGGGTAGCGTAAAAGATTCGCTGTAAGGATTAAGTCTTGAAATTAAAAAAAAAAAAGAATTTACTAATATTTGTGAGATACATACATATAATATATCAATAATACTATTAATAATATTAAAATAAAATAATAAAACACATAGTAAATGTATGCAGTATACATATACAGAGTACTGGCAACTTGGTTAATCTAATTAATCTAATATATCTTAATGCGTTACAGATGTTTGACAGATTGAATAGGCATCTCACAAAGAAATTCTTTCAGCATACGAACGTGCTTTGTCCTCGTCATATCTCGCTGCACAGTCTATCTGCCATATCGCTACTTATCTTACGTAACGCGTCCCCATACGCTACGTCATAATGTTACAAGCCACTCCCTTCAAAACAGCACCGAAAGGTAGCCAGGACATGCGATCGAGTGCTCGATTACGCGCACAGCGCTAAACGCGACTCCTCGTCGGCCTATCGTTCCGGTTACCCCCGCTCGTCCTCTAGACGCTAATTTACACGTGGCCCACGAGAATAATCTGCAGTCAACGAGCAGAATGGACATAATCAACAATTTAACCGAGCGGCGAGCAGGAGCACAGCAACAGCGAGTAGGAGGGCCAAGGAGCGTGGCCGCAGCCGGCCGCACCGCGCTCGCAACTCCTGGCCGCTTCTGTTCGCCGTGGATCGGAAAGACACAATTTTGAGGAAGAGCGCGCGGGCCTCTAAGCGTCGTCACGGCGCAGCCATACCCCATTGGTCCACGGCGATCTCTTTCCACCGCTTATTGGTTCATTGACTCCGGCATGGACGGAAATTTCGGCAGGGCTACCGGGCCCGGCAAGCCGCCGCGCTGGCACAGCACGAATCCCTATCGCGCGGCGGCGACGCGCGGCCGCGACCGACGCGCGGCCCGTCTCTCGTGCTCGCCTCGCGGGAGTCGGCGGGACCGTCGTCCACGGGGACAGTGACACCGTTTTTCCCCAAAATCGGCATTAATAACGCGCGATTCTCCGCCGCCGTCGCCCGTCGCCACTGCTGCCGACTGGGACGACGCACGCGAATGCCGACTTTCGACCGCGGGTTTCCACCGCGGTGCAGTTGCTCGCCGGACCTCGCGTTCTACATTCAACTATGCGACACGCGAGTCGTGTAATCTCGCCACCGCGGGAACAGCTCCCAAACGGATCGAACGTTATTACGTTTTCCCCTAAAATTAAAGCTGCTTACGGGCAGGAGTGGGGACTTTACCTGCAACGAGGCAGTGTGTACGTACATATACAGGGTGACTCGCGCGACACATTGGAGTACGCGATGACGTCTTGCTGACATTTACGACGACGCGGCAGAAAAGTCGAGTTCGCGTAATTGACGAGTCATGAATAGGATAAATCGAATGCCTACTGATCTCTTTGCACTTAATGCGATAAATATATCGTATAAATGTGTCTTGTATCGTGAGATACTAAGTTTTATTTTATGTAAAGTTCGGATATACTATATTAAAGTTTTTGAACAAAGTATTTATTATGGAGAACTTTACATAGATTGTTAGCAATTCTTATTACGATTATAGTTTTTAATGAATAATAATATATTATTATGCGAACAATTATTTACTAATCGCGTTCTGTGTTTTTAGAGTTCGTTTCATACTAAAAAAATTATTTTTGTACATCTTATTAATCTTGCTTTATTAAATGTGTATTATTCATCGGAAGTTAAACGCAAACGCATTAACTTATAAAACACCGTTTCATACAATATAATCGATATGTAATAGTATTATATGTATAACATATAATCTATATAGTCTATATTTATCATATTACTGTACTGAATGTACCTTACAAAAATTTAATGTTGAAGATAGTGATTAATTACTTATTTTGTTCAGTGCTTTCAATATTTAAAATAAATAATTAATCACCGTCTTTTAAATTTTTATAAAGGTCAGTCAGTACTATATATGATAAATACAGACTATATACGTAATATTATTATATGGTATATCTTATACTGTTTAATGTTTGTAGTATTCAAAATAAGTAATTTTCAATATCAAGTTGACTAGTATTAATTTGGATTTTTATAAGAACTATAAACCTTGGAGAAATATATTGTAATACTTAATAAAATGTCGAATTGGTTAGTAATTAGTTACTTATTTCGAGTATTAATAACATTGCTTTCAATACTCAAAATAAATATTAATCATTAACGAATCTAATATTTACAATATCAAATTTCTCTAAAGAAATATATTATACAGTTCTCTGTATTCACATACAGATACGTTGAAATCAGCTCATGCCACTTGATTTCGATTCTGCGGAAGAGAATCAATCGTCCACGCGACTCCACGATACACCCAGTACATAATCTCGTGCGTGCACACGTACATATGTAACGCACGTAGGTCGGCGTTGTTGACATCAGCGCTTCTATCGGCGGCGTCGTGAGATTACGGGCGGCCGCATGCGTTCCTGTTGAAAAAATTCCTCACGGGCGAAAGTCAAGGTATGATAGAACATCGCCGGCAAGCCGGCCGGCTTGGGAGCCGAGAGAGTGGAGAGAGATCCGCCTCCTTGTGCCACGTGTTACCCTGGCAGCAGGAGGGGCTCGGCGAGACAACCCGCGCGAAACTCTGTTCAACGTAGGGAGAGCAGCCGCGCCGTACGACCTCCTGCCGTCGCATGCCGTCCGGATAACGCGGTGCTCGCATGCGGGATGTGAGCACGCACCACGTGCTCGTCACCGGGTCTGGGCGACCGGCGAGAGCTGGGGTGACGGCGATCGACGATCGCGCACCAATTCCTCGCGTCGTGTCTCGCCTCGCCGCCGCGCTGCGTGTAAACGCTATGGCGATGTGGCTGATGTAGCGCGTTCAATTTCTACCGCCACGCACACATGCGACCGTTCCTCGCGGAGCGGGGGACACGCAGTAGCGCGCGTTCACGTATCGATCGTATAGGCGGGTATATCGCCGTACACTCGGAACACTCGAGTCGAGCTATCTATAAGCGCCGCTAGCGGTGTTGGCGTCAAACGGATCCGAGATCCGACCGTGACACGGTAATGTTAAGGCTGGAGCACAGCACTTTGCGTAATACATAACACATAATGCATAAAATGTGGAGAAAATATAAAGAAAGTCAACCATTTGGGGTCTTTTATTTGCAACGCGTTGACTTCATTGTCATTTAATTTGATTTATTCTTAAAGCCATTTCTAATATTACTCTATTCTATAAACGGAGTAAACGGAGAAGCTTAAAAGATGTATGCCCACGAGAGCGATCCTTTATTTTCCTTGCAGTATAAATATTATAAATTAAAAGGCATAAAATAATCTAAGTAATTGAATAGAGAAATAAAGAACTTTATGGGATAGTGTGTACACACACGGTGTATTTCGAACGAAAAGAGCAATATTAGGGTCACTTGTTCTTCATTCACCGAATACAGAATCACTTTAATACACCGGAAAAGTATAAGAGTCATTTTTATTGTCGTTCGATGTAAAGTTCATGGAATGCAGTGACGCGTAATAAGAAATGAGATCATTCGCAGTATCTGATCATATCGAGATATGAATGTATTCCTTACTCGGCAGCGAGTCACCGCCAAGACTCCGTGGCGCAACGGTAGCGCGTCTGACTCCAGATCAGAAGGTTGCGTGTTCAAATCACGTCGGGGTCAATCGTTAATTTTTGTCAACGCTTCCGGTGAATTTTTATGCTACCGCCATTTTTATTTGCTTTTTTTTTGCAATGACGCCGTTCAATGACGCAAAAACGCATCCTCGTATACTCTCGTATCACAAATACCGAAGTGAATGACACTAAATATCGTGGATCTGAAATTACAATTAGTATCGAGCCAGTATAATATACCACATATATTATATTCATATATATAATATTAATAAAATGAATACTCTTGAGGTGCATTGAAATATTTATGCTACATGGTATCTGTATTTCCAACAGATACCTCCGTGCAGCAGTCGTGGCCGAGTGGTTAAGGCGTCTGACTAGAAATCAGATTCCCTCTGGGAGCGTAGGTTCGAGTCCTACCGACTGCGTGAGATCATGGGAATTATTTTTGCTACTGAATATCCTTTTTTTTTGTTACAAGACGGAATACAGCAGAATTATTATTTTATTATTATTATTGTTTTTTTTTTTTAATTAATAATTGTTAGTGCGGAATATAATGATTCAACTTTATTGGCTGAACATCCATCGTTAATATGATGAATAATGACGCAATTGAATGAAAATTTTAAATTATTTTTAAATGTTTCACAGTTACGTAAACATTTAATTATGAATATTTATTATTATACACAGCTATTTATTGTAATTTCCTAGAAGTCGTATATTTTAGAAGCCTAAATAAAAATTCCTCGATAGTATAGTGGTTAGTATCCCCGCCTGTCACGCGGGAGACCGGGGTTCGATTCCCCGTCGGGGAGGTTTATTTTTGTTATTTTTTCTCCCATTTTTGATTCAAATCAAAACGAAGTGTCTTATATCAAATATATCCAGCATAAATTAATATAGAAAAAAAAATAGGTACAATGTTATTTTTAAGTTCAGATTACGCGCGCTTATTATTGTGTGAAATTTTTAGTTCGACTTCAATCCTTCATTTATAATTGCAATCCTGTTCGTGTCTTCCGTTTGACATTTGTCAGAGTTTCTGTACTTATGCATTTGTCAATTATACAGTTAACTGAATAATTTGTGACCTGAACTATGTTCTGATTAATAATATAATATAATATAATCGATACAGTTATAAAATTTGATAAAGGCATAATTAAGAATACTTATGGAGTTAATAGGTCGAAAAAGAATTCGTAGGCGCCGTGGCTTAGTTGGTTAAAGCGCCTGTCTAGTAAACAGGAGATCGGGGGTTCGAATCCCCCCGGGGCCTAGCGGAATTTATTTTTTTTTCATACCGAGATAACAATGTCTGTATAAGTATTCTAATATTGTGTGCCCTAGCATATCATATTTATGTAAGAACCTATTGGCTAAGACATCTATTACAAATTTTATTTTGAACTGCAGTTGATTATTTATACAAAATAACTTTCTAATTACGACTTTTAAATTTAATATATTTAATATAATTTAATATATAAAATACTTAAAAATACGTTTATATAAAACTTATTTATATAATTTTTTAATAATAAATAGATATGTATGCATGTGTTCTGTACTTGAAAAATTATATCAGCAGAAATTGTTCTTGTTATAATAAACGTTGTATTATTGCTATAATATTTGGGATCAGAAATCGAACTTGTATCCATTTCCAGAGACCTTCACGCGCGCGACCGATGGGGCGGATGAATAAGCGATACCCAGTAAATTTTGCGATTGTTGTTCCGTTTGCTGTTTCTGCTGTAACTGAGCCTCAGACACCTGTGCACAATTACTATTAACAAAAATCACGTTTAATAACCACATATGAAAATTATTATCCTTTACTATGCATAGGAAAAAACCTTTGAGAAACAAATTTTAATAAATATTTAATTGAATAGTGTCAACTCAACAATTACTTATAGCAAATAAATATTGTATTTACTTAATGAAAAAAATTATTGTTAAATTAAATTAAAACGGTTTTCGTACTAAATAAATGTGTATATATATATATCTGTATATTTAGAAAATATTTAATTAGTACTATTCAAACAAATGACTTATTATAATTTAATATATTTTATTTCGGTATATGTATAAATAATTCAACGGCTCGTCGATAAAATAAAATTATGTGATATACGATCATCACTGTAATGTAATCGGCAAGTATGCCGTATTGTCAAAAAATATTACATACAAAAATATATCATAAAATGTATGTATGTTTTTCAAAAATAATTAAGGTCTCATATCACATTGTAAATGCATCGTCTAAATATTCTAAATGTGTTCACTTTTGTTTCTGCATGATGAGACCTACCTGTTCCGATGGAATCGTGTGCAGCTGTCCTTGTTGAGCCTGTGCCAATTGTGCCTGACGAAGGGCGAGCAGTTGCGCCAATTGCGATTGATAAATCGCTGCGTTCGGCTGATACGCTTGCAAATACGCTTGCTGCGGTTGCTGGGCGTACGCTAATGCGACCCCGGGATCCGTCTGGGCCTCATACACCAACGGTCCGGGCCCGGGCACAAAATTCGGAAGGATTCCGCTCGCGTAATATCCTACACAACGATTGAAACGTATATATTAAGTTGTGTTCACTCAATCTCTCTCTTTCTAGATTATAATTATGTTTTTCAACTTTTGTGAGTTGCGTATCTCGCAGTATTCATGAAAACATAGACGAGGTATTAGATAAGTCATATGAATACATTTATATTGACTTTATTAGATTAATAATATTTTCTTTATTAAATATTATAGGAAAAAGAAATAGAGAAAAGAATTCGAGACCTTCCGATTTGTACGCTAAGGAATCACTAAAGGATGTCGTTATGATCGCTCGTGAATTGTAAAATACTTGTGTACGAAAAAAGACTTTTGCGTGTACTGTTTACTATAATATAAGCACGAACCTAAGCCTGGATTTCTTTGAGCGAGGGCTTGTGCGATACTTGGCTGAACCTTTTGTATTAGCTGAGGATTGCCGATGCTGGAGGCGAACGATTGATGAGAGCTGGGCCCAGCGAATGCGAATGACGTTTGCGTTAATCCTGGTCGGACGAAACTGAAGGAAGTATGTTGCTCCGAACTACCTATTACATTTGTCGGTTTCACCCCGGCTTGAATGGGTGGCTCGGCCGTGACGAGACAATATATCGCACTTAAGATAACCGCGTATTTCTGCAATTCGCAATTTCTGAGATCAGTCGAGGCAAATGTGATATTTGATTAGGGTATGTAATATAGCAAGTTTCTGAAAGATGATATACTAATATCTATACTTACGTAATAAATATCTTTAAAAAAAACATTACAACAAAGATACACTATGATAATTGTAATAAAAATTATATGTTACCATTACTATAATTTAATTATTGTAATAATAGTTAAAAGGAATTGTCAATTACAATTATAAAAATTATCGTTATCTCATTGTAATAATTAATGTTATGTTATAATTATCGTCCATTTGTAAAAATTACTATACAGAATCAAGATTTACATAAATATTTCTCAAATGTTTAAAATTTGAACCGACATATACATTTATTAATTCATTTTTCCAATTCATTATTGATATGTTAAAATTAAAGCTTGTATTTTTGAAAGCTTTTCTGGACATTTTTGTCGCACTATGTTCGCGTGAATCTTTCTTTATTTTTAAAGCACATTCTCAAAATTGGACCTTTCAACGAAACATCCCGTTTCAATTGAAAAATGAGACACGAAAAATCGAAGTGTTCTCTTCGCCTTACTCACCAACATCATGAAAAATCGCGCAATCTATCTTGTAACGTACAATAAAGAGGAACGGTATTATCGCTGGTAAAAATCACGGCGGTATTACGGCGCGACGAAACCCCATGGGGAGCTATATACCACGGAAACGGCTGGTACGAAACGTGAGATGCATCCGATCGACATCATTTCATCAAGACACTTTCTCCGGGATATAAAATGTCGAACAATCCGTGAATCATAATCAGACGACACGTAAGTTTCTTTAAAATACAGATGACAGACGAAAGCCATGGAATGACAAGGTTCCTGCAAAAATGTGTCATCTATTTATAATAGCAGAAAAAAATGGGTATTTTTTAAATTGAGACCGCAAACAAAATAATTTCTTCCAAGATCAAGATCGCTGATAACAGAGAAAGTCGCTTTCGAAATGCTCAATGCGACAATAGTGTGGGTGTATGGTGAGTATTAATTGCGATGTGATGAACGATTTTAGAATTTCAAGTATCTAATCAGTAGTGATTTCGTTTCTATCATGGCAAATATTTATTTTATACTGTGAATATAAGATCCTTTTAATAATATATTTTCGATTATATAATCTTCAATCGTATATTTGATGAAAACAATAAACGATTGCAAATAATATTCTACATTTCAATTTAATTCTATTTTATTTGCATATTACGTAAATACATGTTGCACGTTACTACACCATAATCATGTTTTTAACACGATTATCGTTTTGATTTAAGTCCCAGAGTGTCTTTATTTACAATACAACTATTGTACTATTTATTGCCATACGCATTACAAAATTTTACATTATCAATAGCCGTTATCTTAATTATTTGGCGATGGATGTTAAAATAGGTAATCTGAAAATATGTATCTCAATGGATAATGCTATGTCTAATTAATGAATGAAAATTTGTGCGACGTGACGTCTGGATATTTTTTTCCTCCAACAGATTATTTCATATGTTCGAGAAGTACGACAGATAAAACATGCCCATGGCACTGGTTGATAATAATGCGAAGCAACTCCACCACGTTGCTAGTCCTAAGACGCCTCTGTACACATCTGTGGTAAATATCTGTAATAAATAAGACATATTTTTTTGTACCAATGTTTTAAACATTGTTTAAAAGTGCCCTCTTTCGTGATAAAATTTAATATTTTTTAACGAATATCTTAAGACGTTACTTGTTTTAATGAACCTAGCGCGAGTTGAACTTCTTCAGCAGTTTGTACAACAGTCTTGTCGATATTATCAATATTAACTGTAGATGATAGTGACTTCGATAATTCATCTGCTGGGCATTCTTCCTCTAAGGTTCCTTTTAAGATACCTTCCCAGGTAAAACCACCTGATCCAAAAAGATATATATGTATGTATGTGTGTGTGTATATATATATATATATATACATCATTAATAAATTGTATATTTCACAATATTTTTCATACCAAGTGTTTTGTACAAAAACGTAAAAAATAAACATATAATTATGGGAACAACAAATTGTAGCGCCACTACACATAAATAATAATATACAGCTGCAATCTGCAACAATAAAAGAAATTTGTTTAATTTCTTAGCAAAGAACAGAACTTTCAATTAAGATAATTAAGTATGCAATATCATAATATTATACAAACCTTTGCCTGCAAATCAACATTAGTTATTCGGCCAGCTTCTTTCTTTTGAATCTCTAATCTCTGAATAGCGAGATTTAAATAAGATTGTAGATATATCGGCATGAGTACAATTTTTAATAAACTGGTAATAACAATAATAATCAACCTCAAACTTTCAAACCTTGCTACTGTCATTCTGTAATTAAAATTTTTAATATTTTTCCAATTTATTTAGATATTAATTTGTTATTTTCTTTCAATGTCAACTTACAATGGAGCAGTCATACCACTGAATATTCGAACAGTCAAATAATCTCTACTTATAGGTGTAATCCATAGACTGACTAACAAAAGTGGCGAGGCATAACTAATATTTGCTATTAGCACTAATAACTTATTATCTTTATAATACCTGCAATTATTTCCATGTATACTATCAGCACTTAATACTTCAATTAAATTAAATTGAATTTATCTTACCTCAATGTATCCCAATGCATTTTTGATGCCCTTAATCCTGGGAAGGTAAACAAAGATCCCAGTAAACCGCACCATATAGCAAGAAAAAACTTTAAAACAATTTTTGAGGCTGGTCCCCTATATTAAATATATTATCAGTAACGTTAATAATAAATTTAAAAAAATTACTTACAATAGAAATAACTATTATTTAATTTTTAATTAGACTATTAAATATACTTTATTAAATTATTCTTAAAAAATGTATTTAAAGTTGATAGATAATAAAGACCTATTATTGAAATATTCTTTCACTAATAATATCCTATACAAACAATAAAAGATACAATAGAGATTTAAAATTATTTATTCAATTATTTAAACTTACGTTGAAGACAGCCCTTGAGTATCTAAAAAACGAGAAGCACTATGATTGAAACTTGTATATGCTTTTTCCAGCCCAATTTCCAACTTATTTTCATCAACTATGAGTACCATCATAGCAATAAGAAGATATGCAAATCCAGTAACGATACATGTGGATCTTTCACCAACACTTTCTTCACCCTTGAAATATTGTATCCAAAGGGAAAGTAATACTTTACTATAAATTTATAAGGAAGCAATAACTCTCTTGGAAAACGAGAAGTTTTACAGATTTTCTGTCAATATTTTAATTCAAAGGATACAATGCAAACCCTAAAACTACCACACACCATAGTATACTGAGATTAATTTCATCTTTGATTGGATACAAATAATTGTACACCTGTTAAGTAAATAAAGAAAAAATGTTAGACAATATTACAAAACATGATCAGTTATACAGAATATTAATATTAGTTAAAACATTGCAATTAAGGATAAGCATTTTTATTCGTAGAGACAAATATTTGTATTACTTAAAGAGCAGCAATTAAAAAGCACTAACCTCTGTCAGTACATAAACAATGACAGCATATATAGAGAAGTCCAATAGCCACTGATATTCTGTGTAATATTTTAAGTTTACTACATCAAGAATAGTTATTTTTGCACTTTCGAGCTTGATATCTAGATTTCTAGGGACATGAAACACATCTCCCACTTTGCCATTCTCGCCGTGTTTTCCTCTCTTTGGTTTTTCTTTCGGTACACCAGCTAATGTTCTGAGTTGCTGATCTGTAGGATACAGATATCGTGTCAATCTGTGCAGACAGAAAAACAGAGATGACAGATCTTATCATTCTATTACTATCCATCATTTATATAATTATATGTGCAGATACGTACCCTGTGGAACATAAGATCCATCTCGCAAAGGAAAAATGTGGACTCAACTTTTGTATGATACTAACCATTACAAGGGTGATGACCAATTGCGCTCCTAGAAGAGCCTGAAAGAAATGTCATTAAACACAAAACGAAAATACAAGACATAAACATGGGGACAGAAAAGAGATAAGTCCAAAACATACAATATATTAAAGAAATAGAATAAGTTTAAAACAATCGTTACAACCGGGAACACGTGATTTCTGTAAGACATATTGTTTTCGTCGTTAAATTTACCATTCTTAAAATGTATCGGTAGTAGGAAGTCTCACAAACAGGATCGCTCCATCGGAAGCGACGATGGTCTCAATCAATCCTGAAAGACGCAACAGCGAAATACGCCCGATTTGCCGCGAGTAATATTTGCTCTATCATCTTAAATGGAGTACGCCGGTCGCGAGCTGGTTTTATAAATAGTTATAACCTGGCCACTGCATAATACACCGAGCACTGCCACTGCCTCGCATGGGCCAACACGAGGTTATTTCAGGTTATTTCCAGTTATCCACAGTTATTATATCGCTACAACCGCTGTAGCGAGGAACGCCGTCGACACCTAGTCAACAGGGCCAGCAGCATCGCGGTAAAATGTGATGTGTAACCGTGCGCCGATCACGTATGCTCATATGATTATTCGTAGAATTTACTCTATAATTATTCATTATTATTATTGTTATTATATAATTCAAAGAAAAACATAAAAGGCACATATCAAAAGTCAAGCAAAGTTACTAAATATGGAACACAAATTAAATTATATATTCAAAATTTACATAATGTAAAAAACGTTCAAACGGTTCGAGTCACGATCATCAGTGAACAACGCATCTGCAAGTTAAATTGACATATCAAATTGTTTTTCGAGCTTAAATTAGAAGTCGAAATATTCACTGAGGGTGACCCGAAGAGAACGCGAAACGTTTATATTGGATGTATCGTAAATTTTGTGTATATGATATATGTATATATTTGCATTCCGCTATGCTTAATTTTCATTTATCCTGACTACGTTTTTTTGGGGAGAATTTTCCAATATTAAAAGAGAGTAATTTGATTATTATATATTTTTATTTAATTATGTTAATAATAACATTATTTAATTTGATTATTTGACTAATTTGTGATTAAAATAAATAAAGATATAATAATAATTAAATAAAGATATGTTGTATTTGATATCAATATATGTGTTAAATTTTTGCTGCGTTTTTATATGAGTCTAGTCTCATCAGTAGGAACATAAATATATTCTATACTTGTTTGTAGTTATCATAATCCTGCATCTATACATATAATTACGCAGGTCGTGATAAACTAACGCTCGTGTAAGTATTTTGCAATGTAAAATATGCACATATACCCTGCGGCTGGTCTTTCTTCTATAATTATTATTGCCTACAGATATAGACAATAGAATATAGAAAACGATGTATTACGTAGCTTCACATATTAGTCTTGCAATGCTAGGATTGTAATGTAAATCAAGAATTATGCTGCATTGAAGAAATGCAGTTATAACTACAACATGATAAATAAATTTTCGTTGCAGTACAAAGATAGCATAATTTGGGAATGTAGAAATTTACGCGCGATTAAGAAATCGATGTTGAAAAATTACGAAGTAATTTAGATGTTAGATAATTTGTCTCGAAGAAAAAATGCGCAGATATCTTTGTTCTCAGAAATCATTTTACCCACATTAGCGAACTTATTAATTTGCATCCTGGAAACTCCGAATCTTCGATTACGTAACGATACATGCATCAGCGTGTGACCCACTAATTGTCTTTGAGCATTTTAATTAGTTCATCTAATTCTAATACATTGTTCATTGTTAGGTACATCTAATCTATATTAAGAGTGTGATTCAAACACATGCAAATGAATGTAGATATATATAGAGTTATAGAATAATTTTATTTACATCGTAATTTTATTCTACAGAAAAAAATAGGAAAATTCATTTATTAACGACATATAATTATATATTCATAAATTTATCAATTTTGTTCAACACGTAAAAAATGTTTTATGTGTCTAACGTAACACAATTTTCTATCTTATAAAATAATAGTTTTACTACAATAAATAATTAAATATTGTAATTGGTGTCTTCTCCATTTAGTGACACAAGTCGACATAAATGCTGTTTTATCTTTCTTTAAATTGCGCAAATAACAATGGCAAAATGATAAAATACTTGTATCGACCTGTGTCACTAAATGGAAGACATCCATTATAACTAAAACAATATAGTCGTCACACGATAACTCCTATTTTTTTAAAAGTTATTACAAATAAAATAGACAAAAGTACCTTGCTCAACTCATCTCCAATAGCCTGTTAAACAATTTCCTAAGAATACAAATCATTAAATAAGTATGCGGTTAAATACAGAAAGGGAAAAAAGCAATTTATTTCCCATAAAAAATAAATATTAAATAATGAGATATATATATATATATATATTACTATTTAATACTTATTTTTTTATGTGTGTGTATATATCTTCATTAATTTATTAACAAACAACAGAGTTTCAACAATTCCTAATACAAAGAAAAATAAAAAAGATATTGTTGTTGGTTCGTAACCCTTCTAATTTATTGTAAATTTTATTTTTATTGAGCCATGTTATTATTATTACATAAAAAAAATGTTGACTGATTAAATAGCAGAAAGATTTATTTGATTACAAGAAGGATTAATCTTATTACTAACTTCTTTATACATACCCACACACACACATATATGTGTTTTATTATCTTTTTTGTTCCTTTCTTTGAACAAACTGTCTACCACTTTATTAACATATACACATATATTGTTGATATAATCATTAATATAATGAAGATAATCATGTTTTTCATATGTAATAAAAATCTCTGAACTATTAAAAACGCAATTTTCAGGCTTCCAAAAATAATAACAATAGCTTCTTAGTCGACAAACGGTTGCTCTAATCTAAAAAAATCGCTGTTTCATTCAATGACTGTTCGGACATCTCGCACACAGAAACACGTCCTTTTACGCCATCAGAACGCGAAGAGAACGCAGCGGTATAAAACGATGCGTTCATCAGTTCGCGCGATCATACGTCGAGCAGTGTGCGACAAGCAGTGGACCACGATTCATAACGACAGGTTCGTAACATGTTGTGTCTGTTGTTTTCGCGCAAGGAGACTCGTAGGCGGCGGTGTGTCTTTTTACGCGCGATGACGTATGCGGCGCGGTGGAGAATTCACGGCCGGCTATCGCGAAAATCCCGCGGGAGATATGTCTCATCTAATACAGGACTAATTAATTCTTCTAACATTTCTGTCGTTATTTATTTGTTCATTAATAGCTTTTAATTGCGAGTCTATATGTATATAGACTTACTGCGTGATCGAATGAACAAATCGACAATTCAAGCAAAATATATTGTCTTTTTTATTTAATAATATTTAATTTTTTATTGTTACTTTATAATAAATAATCATCATAAATAATATATGCCTAATGTGATCAAAAAGCGTCGAATGTTTTCTAGTTTAACTCGTAGAATTATTCTCATGCGTATACATATGTACGTCATTTTAATTTTTTATTTTTCAGAAATTATTAAATCTAAACAATAATTATGTCGCCGATGTCGAGTATAGTCATACTTATCACTTCAATCGTGGTTTTTCCAAATATCGATCCTGTGATTTCTTCTTTTCCGGCCTTTCAAATCTGTAAGACTAATACGGAGTGCAATTCAAATTCCTGCTGTTTGCTAAGTTTGTATCTCTTTTTCTTTATTTCCATTTAAATTTAAATACCTCGAAAAAAGTGTCTTTTGCATCAAAAAAAAATTTTTCTAAATTAATATATATGTATATTTATATAATAGAGAGTCTGGTTGCATCAATAGAAATTCTGATTGAAAATGGACAGAATTTTCTGATTGAATTTATCATAAATCTATAAATTAAGATAACCAGAATTCTGATTAATTTAATTTAAGACCTACTGGTTAGTTCATTTTCAACCATAAATTTTTCTCACAATCAGTATACAATTATAAAATATTATAATATTAATATATTTATATATAAAATAGTAATATTTAAACATTATAATAAATAATTCATAGATATGCTAAATATAAACAATATTTCTGATTAAAGTACACGTATACTCCGAACTCTTAACAAGTGCATTGATTCCTTTTAGAGCCTTCAAGGTACGCAATACCGACTTGCATGCCGTTTCAACAGGAAGGTGAACAATGTCGAGTAAACGCTGAGACTATCACGACCAATTTGACTTATCCGGACAATTCGGAAATGGAAGTTATAAATATTTCTTTCATCCTGTGTCCTTGCGCCGATGGATTATCTTGTAAAAATGGCATCTGCAATTAGAATTTTCTATCAATCGCAACGATCGGAAACATCATGATCATCACGATTATATGGGGCCAAATATTTTGAAGAAGGAAACAAGTAACATTGAGGAAGTATTTTTAATTGCATGTTGACCGTAATAGTTGGACAGCATTCATAAGAAATTAAAGCTCGAAGTAAAATGTTGTTAATTATTATTCTATCTGTTACATTATTATATTATCGCATTCTTTTATTCTTGTTATTATATTTTTACTACTTTTTAAAACTATTATTTAGAGATTTAGACAAAAAAATGCTAAGGCACAAATAATAAATTAAGATAAATGGAGACAGAGTTTTACATGTACAATTAATATTGATTTATAAAAAGCATTTAATATTGCATACTATATTTTTAAAAATATACCAATTTTATAAGATTAAAATAAAATGGCTGTAGCAAAACAATCTGGAACAAAATTAATCATTATCTTCAATTTGTAAAGAAAAATCTTGTTTTAATATAGGAAATTAACAACTTAATTAGTAAAAAAATTGAAAATAACATTAATTTTATTGATATCAAAAAGACGCAAAAGTTGTTTAAATTAAAAAAAATTATATTTCGCAATCACGTGCCTAATTGTTGATTTAAGTATTATTATTATAGTCACATAAGAGAGTAAGTAAAAAACTACAATAATATTGTCTTTTTATCATATATATGTAAGATGTTATTAAAATAAAAGTTTATAAATTAAAGAAATAATATTTATGTTGTTTTAACTTGAATTTTTAATAAACTAATGTTACATATTTATGCCATGTAAATTTAAAATAATACTGACTTTAACTGATTTTTGTTTTTTATTTAAAAAACTTATTATGTGTTTTAATTCGAACAAAAATAACAATATTTGAATAATTAAAAATAAAGCGCGAACATAAATGGATATGAGGTAGCTATTCCTTGTCTCTTTACTGGTCTGAACAAAATCTTCTTTCTCGCTTTTACTACATTTCAAATATACAGTGACGTGCTAAAGTTTCCGGCTAGTGATGTTTCGTATTCTAATTTATAAAAAAAAAACCTAATTTAAAATTTTAATCTTTATCGAGTGTTACAATAAGAAATAGATAATACACAATATAGATAACAAAAGCTTGTACGTACACCTGACAATGATGAAAATTTTATCAGGCTTTTTTTGTAAATTCGAGTACAAAACGTCACTAGCCGAAAACTTTTGCACTGTAAGTATTATACAAGTGTACAACGATATTAATTCAGTCAAAATAGAACTTATGATTTAATTATTAAATTGACAGATTGTGTGTATGTAGGGTAGAGCGGAACCTATTCCATCATTTTCAACCTTAAAGTATTAAAAAAAAATTACGACAACAAACAATATCTTTTTGCAGTAACGAGCTTATAAGTTATAATATATATATATATCGTGATTGCTTCTTGAGAGCACAAGTATGACTTTTAAATGCTCAGTATACACCGTTTAAAAACATAAACAATATGTGAGACATGGATGAAATAGCCCTATTGTACCATATCAATATATACTTTTTGAGTTACAACACGTCTCAAGAGTTACACGTCTTTCTTCGGCTTTTTCTGAGTATCTTTTCCTATCATTTCTCTATAAAGAGGTATTGTATCATTTTTATTAGTAATAAAATTTGTGACGGTAAGAGAATTATGATAACAAGACGAATTTATCGCCAAAAAGTACTCAATATTTCTGATAAAAGTTTGAACGGATCGAATGTATTAACAAAGCATACGAAAGAAGAACATCCAGAAATTATAAAAACTGATAAATACAAATGGATAACGCCATATTGCACATATTTCGATGGACAAATAGCAAAATGTAAGTTTTGCAATAAACTTCATTCTGTTAAATATTCAGCAACGTTCAAGAAGCACTTGCAAATGAAACATTCAAAAAAGATAATAAGTATTGTAAAAAAGCAAACCCAAAGCTGGATATGGCAATATGTAACATTAGAAGATTATAAGGCAAAATGTAATTTTTGTAGTCACGTTTGTAATATACTATTTTGTGAAACAACAATGTTAAAAGAACATTTTACCAAGTATCATAAAATAAATATACATTCAAAAATTGAGGAAAAAGTTGAAAAAGATAAAACGGATAAAAAGATTAAAAATTTGGCAATTACAAAAGATGTACAAGATATCGCTTCTAGTTCAAAAATTGAGGAAAAAGTTGAAAAAGATAAAACGGATAAAAAGATGAAAAAAATGGCAATTACTAAAGATGTACAAGATATCGCTTCTAATTCAAAAATTGAGGAAAAAGTTGAAACAGATAAAACTGATAAAAAGATGAAAAAATTGGCAATTACAAAAGATGTACAAGATACTGCTTTTAATGAAATTGTTTCAACGTTTATGAATAACTTGAAAGAAATGAAAAAGAAGAAAAAAGGAAAAGAAAAAAAAAATTAGAATAAGAAAAAGAAAAAGAATAGTAAGTCTTTACATATTTTAGTGTTTCACTTTGAATCGCTCCTATAATAAAAAAAATTGTATGTACAATAAGCATAAAAAATTAGATAATTTAGCATTTATTTTTTTGTCATAAGTATTGTATATATATAGATATTATGTTCAAATTAAATCAGTATTTATAAACATATCAATTTTATAAATATTTATATTAAATACAATATATAGGTACATTTAATAAAATTTACATTAAAATGCGATAATTTAAATTAATTTAGTAAAAATTTATTGAAATAACTAGTAATAAAAAAACATATTTTGAGTAATATCGGAAAAATTTTTAGATTTATACGTAACATTTGAATCCGAAACACTCGATAACATTTCTGAGTTATCTAGAATTCTCGCTAATAGTGAGTTTTAGAAAAAACAATTTAATTTGGATATAATAATGTAACAATCGAATATCGTTTTTACTCGGCCCGAGCGAATTTACACTAACCAGGATTAAAAAATTCTTTTCTATTGGTTTTTTGACATTGCACGCTTTACCAATAGGAGTGCACGAAACGTCATTAATCCAAGGTTGATGCATACTGGGCTGAATACATTATAAAAATGGTTTTATAAAACTAATTATTCAGATATATTCTAATTTTCATACTTATATATATAATTGCAGGTTATTGAAGTTCTATTTCGACAAACAGCTGATTGATATAAGTAAATTAAGTAAAACGCTGTTATATTTTAACTGTTATTTTTTTTATCGCAATGATTTGATGTGATATTGCCATTTTTATAAATGTAACAATAACTATATATACAAATAACTAAATGTTAAGGTTGTATTAAAAAGAAAAAGAAAAAGGTACAAAAGTTAAAGTTAAGTTAAATTAAATTAAGTTATTATAATTAAAAGTTAAAGTTTGGATAGTTAAAATTAAGTTATTTTAAAAAGTAATGTATTTTCATTTCGTGTTTATACTTACTGAAAAAAAATAATTTATAACAATAACTAACAAATTACGTTATTACTCGATCATTACAAGTAATGAGTAAATAGTAACGCATCACAAACGAGAAGTTATAACTGTTTTACAAGTGACTTTTTAATCTTAAAATGACGGTCGACATTTTTCAACATTGACGTTACCGCTACAGTCCAAAAAAAATTCATCATTATTAAATCGTACAATATAACAAAGTAACGATAAGAAAAGTAACTTTATAAGTATCATTACAAGTAACAATAGAATTGGACAGTCATTAAATTATGATGCAATCTTCAAAACCGTTTATCAGTTTATAGTAAGTATACAGTTTATTAATTAAAATGTCATAGTTATAATAGCCTGAAATACATGGACGTATCAATTATTATATAGGTAATTAATAAAAGGTAAAATGAATTTTATATCCTAATTATAAGCAACATAACGATATTTGAATTTTAAAAATATACGATTAGAAGATACTAGACTCTGGACAAATTTTAGCGATTATCTCTGCTTTTTTTTTTATCATCCTTATATTATTTATATTACTTGCTTTAACCTGTGTTATCGGTTAAGTTTATATATCTGTTGCTGTTTTATAATCATTTCATACATCATGGTATAGATGGCGAGAACGGTTTAACAGCTGATGCCGCATAAATATATCCTCGATAGCGTCAGTGTCAACCTGACGACCTGAATTTAGATGTTTGTATAAAGAGTATAATTTTTAACTTTTTTAATTATACATAAATCGAAACGCTTAATAAAAAAAAAGAGATTACGTTTAATTGAAAATCTTAATCAGGAAAAATGTTTAACACCAAGTCTTTCGACGTTGTGAGTTTCAATTCAGAATTGTCTACTGCGAGGTGAGCTGTATTTCTAATTATTGTTGTAAAATTTATATGTATATATAAATATATAAATAATTCTTTGTTCTAATTAATGATGCAACTATATTATTCTCTATTAGATTGGAAACGTCCTCAAATGTTCAAACAACAGAAATAGTCTATACCGCTGATGATACGCAGACTACAGAGACAAGAACTATTGGGGTATGTTACTGAGATCTTACATACTTGAATTTCAGAATTTTTAGATTTTGTTTATGCTTAGCAAATCAAAGTGACTTCTTAAATAAATATGTAAATTGCAAAGCGTTAATAAACAATAACAGCTTGTTTATATCTACATCTTGTATTTGATTCTTATAGGCTTAGTTCCACTTGACACTCACAACGCTCTTGGAATAATTTCATCTTTGTTTGTCAGCGTTAAACAAAAATTAATCATGTTTGCGAGCATTGGAAGTGTCAAATATTATAGAACGCAACTACATATGTTTCAAATTAATACTATACCTAAATAATTATCTTAGCTTTTTTTCATTATTTTATTTCAACACATCAATTTATATTAATTTCAGATCCAAACAATGAATGGACAGAAAACTGATGTACAAGTGGATTATGATAAACTGGCAAAGTTTCTGAAAAAAGTCACACCGGGGATCCTGGACGCTCTCGATGAAACTTATGCTACTAATGCTTTTGACGACTATAATCCAAATGTAACCGAAGCATCATCCGTTAATATAGAGTTATTAAAAAAAATTAACACAAAGGAATCAGACACTCAGGTATATCTTTTTAATAAAATGATACGACTCATATACGAATTAAATAATTGAATGCTTTTTAGATTAAAATAAGTGACTTATCTTGGAGTACCGTTGGTGGAACA